GTGAACAAGTCACTTATCTGCTCTGACCCTCAATAATGGCACTTGTCCCTTCCTCGAGGGCCGATTGGGGCTCAAATGAGATCATGTAAAGGGTTTTATAGGCACCATATACAAGTCAGCTACATGATAGCTCCAAATCAATTTCCAATGTTCTTCCTATTGTATTCCCCTTCCTTTCAGGCAGGCTGGCAGGGGGATGGTTATGGAGAATGACCAACATGTCGAGGGGCTCTAGACTGCACATGCACTGACTGAAGGAACTGGACGTGTCAAGGCCAGAAAACATTTAGGTGTGTACAGCAAAAGGCTATCAGCTTTGGCAAATTAAGAGACCATTGGGTACTTAGGAGAGAACAGGTTCAATTGAGTGATGAGGTTGGAAACAGGGTTGCCAAGGGTTAAAGAATGAGTACAAGAAGAGGTAGAGCAGGCAGTGACAGTGGGCAGCTTTTCTGAGTTTCTACTTTTCTACCTTTACAGGGGGCTTTAATGCTCCAGCTGCCTCTGCAGAAGCCTGCTGTCCAACAACATCCCCTAATTCCCAGGGGCCTATACTCCTATTTGGATATCCTGTAGGAGGCTTCTCCTCTTGAAATCCGAGCAACAGTACAGCCCAGAATTTCCCCCTCTATTTCCACAAAAATCCTACTTTTCTTCCTCCAGCTTTCTCTTTGCCACCACCACCCAATTCATAAAGTGAAAAAAAAATTACTAACATATATAGCCAAGCAAAACAAATTCCCAGGACAGCCAAGTCCCCCACTTCCCAATATGTCAGTCTGCACTATAAGCCGATCACCTTGGTATCAGCAGGTGGGCAGTATGTTTCATCATGAGTCCCCTGGCATTCTGGCTGCTTATTTTGTTGAGAAGAGCATATGAGTCTTTGCAAGTTCTTTTCCTTACATTTGTTTTTGTTTCTATTGACTTCACCTTTCATCAGTTCTTAAAAGTTTTCCCGGGTTTCTCTGGACCAGCCTCTTTATCATGCTTTAGAGCACGTCCTCCATTGTATTGAATTCATAGACCATAACTCCTACAGCTCTCTTCCAATTGAGAAGTGCCCCTCCACCCCCAAATTTTCATCTCCAAAATAACTTGTATAATTTTTTTTTTTACTTATGAGTCCATTTCCTCTTCCTTTAACCTCTTTGGGGTACAGAACTAATGGTGTTACCACCAAGTCATTAGTATTTGTTGGTCATATTTCCAAACTGCTTTCCAGAACAGCTGGCCCACCATCAACAGCTCATTAATATACTGTTTTCCCAGAGCCCATCCAATATTTGGTGTTTTCCTTTTTTGCCTGAAATTTGTCAATCTGGTAGTTGTGAGGTGGAATTTCAGAGATGTTTTAATTTGTATTTCTCTGATTAATAGTGATTTAGAGGGTTTTTTTTTCCATGTAGCTACTAACAACTTGGATTTTGTCCTCTGTAAATAACCTATTCATATGCTTTGAGCACTTATCAGTAGGGAAATGACAAATAAAAATTTAATTAGTTTGTTATTTATTACAGAAATAAAACAATCCTCAGATAAGCTGGCTACAAAGATATTTTTTCCCCACTGAATTGTTTCCCTCCTAATTGTGGTTGCATTGCTTTTCTTCATGCAAAAGTTTTTTCATTTTACTTTGGAAAGTAGATGGCTCAGTGTTTAGAACAATGGGTCAGGAAGTCAAGACCTAAGTTTAAATTGCCTCAGACACCTCCTTCATTTGTGACACTGGCAAGTAACTTAACAGCTGTTTGTCTCAGTTTCTTCATCTATGAAATGGGGATAATAAGAGCACCTACCTTCTAGGGTTACTGTGAGGATCAAAATGACATCAAAATCCTAAAGTGCTACCACAGTGCCTGGCATATAGTAACTGCTACATACATTAGCCATTATTATTTAAGTAATCAGAATTATCCACTTGCCTGTAATAAGCTTCTTTATCTTTTCTTTCATCATGACCTGTTCATCATTCCTAGATGTGAAAGATAATTTCTTCCTTCACCCTCCATTTTGTCTCGATATCAACCTTTATGTCTAAGCAATGTCCTCATTTGAAGCTTATCTTTGTATATGGGATGAGATGTTGTGTCTCTACCTAGTTTCTGCTGGACTGCTCTCCAGGTTTCCCAACAGTTTTTGTTGACTACTGAGTTTTCCTCACATTTACTGGGTCCTGAGTGATGTTTCAGTGCATGGGTCACCACTTCCTTCTGGAAACCTAGCATAATGTGCCAAAAAAATTTCTGAGGTAGATGGTAAGAGACAGCTAGGCTATGGGGTTGTCTTTGCAGCTAAGTAGAGAAATAACCTTGGCCACTTCATTTAATCTGCTTGGCCTTCATTGTCTTCTGGAAATTCTGCCCTCCTGGAAGATGAGGATTGGAGTAGAACATCACTCATGTCTCTTTCATTCCTAACGTTTTATTTTCTGTGTGCTGTATGGCTTCTGTAAGAATCAACAAGAGACTGTTCGAGAAGTGGGGCTATTAAGAAAATAAAATCAAAAAAGAATCTGTCTTCAAGGAGCTTACTTTATCCTCATGGGGATAATACCTATAGGCTTTTCACAGAATTTTCGTCGGATCTATTCACCAGTCACTACTGTCTGTCTTCTACACTTACAGTTGGTTCCTGTTTTCCAGCATGCAGAGCCTTCTTGCTCATTGAAATTCCACTTTGATACTTGGAGTCAAGAACCATGGCCCTTTGTCATCAATAGGACAATCTCCTCTCAGAATATGAGGCTAGACTGGCTGTTCACGCTTCCTGAATATGATTTCCCTCTGTCTTAGAGAATTTGCTTTACCAGCATTTTCAGGAAAGCCTGTATAAATGTGCTCGTGCTGGGATCAGATTTCAGCATCCTAGATACAACTTTTCACGTTACGCAGTAAGGGAAAGTGCAGAGTTTGTAACTGAATGTGAACTTCAAATGGAAAAATTGGAGAAGAAAAAGTAGAAAATGGTCTTTGTGCTGAAGAAGATGCCTATAGAGGGGAACTCAGAAAAATCCCATCCAGAGAGCAAGAACACTAGTGCTTAAGTGAGGTAGTTCAAATTTAAAAAAGAAAATGACTTTGATAGGTGAGTGGAGGATGGACTGGTCTGGGGAGAAGCTGGAGGCTGGGAGACCAACAAGCAGGCTCTGGTAAGAGTCCAGGATGAGGTGACTAGAGCCTGCACCAGAGGGAGCGCTGGGGCACTGGACAGAGCAGACATGCGCAGGCAAGAGATTGTGTATAAAGAGAAATCACTCAACTTGGCAGCTGACCTCACATGTGGGCTGAGAGGGAAGGAACATTCAAAGAAAGAAATGATGCTGCCAGCCTGGGTGACCTGGAGGGTGGTAGCAGCCTCCACAGGAATAGCCAGGTTCAGAAACAGAGAGGGTTTGGGGAAGATATTGAATTATCCTAGGATATGGTGAGTGGGAGAAGCCTGTGGGGCATCCTGCTTAAGAATTCCTATTTATTTGTTGTAGATTCAGGGATGGAGCCCACGGCATGGGATGAAACCCTCAAGTGAGAGAGCTTGAAGAGATCAGAGAGTAGTCTTGGAGAAGCCTCTGAGACGGAGGTGTGCCGTGGATGCTGACCCAGCAAAGGAGGCAGGAAGGGAGGAGTGGTCACACAGGAAGGAGGAAGGGACCCAGAGGGAGCACAGTCATGAAACTGTCAGGGAGGAGAGGCTAAGGCCTGAGACTAGGCCACTGGATTGGGACATTCGGGAAGGGAGTTAGCAGACACCACTGGGAACATCACAGAGTCTCCCAGGAGATGCCACTTTGAAGACCTCCTTGAGCTCCTGAGTCCAGTGAGGTAAACCAGCATTTATTAAGTGCCTACTGTGTGCCAAGCACTGTTAAAACACAGAGGATATAAGGAAAGGGAAAACCCAGGCACTATCCTGAAGGAGCTCACAGTGTCTAAGGTGGGGGACAACCTACAAAAGGCACTGTGCAAATGAGATAGTGAAAGCAAAGGTCCATTGGGTGGTAGTGGGGGCACTGGCATTAAGGGGACTGGGAAAAACTCCTTACAGATGGGGTGACTGGAGCAGGGCCCGAAGGAAGCCAGGGACCCTCGACAGCTGGCTCCTACAGCTCCCTACAGATCTAGTGTGCACCTGTTCATCCCCTTGAAATAAGTCCACATGTCTTTCTGGGTCTCTCTGTGCTTCCCCCAGGGCCTGGCAAGCAGGAAGGGCTCAATCCACTGTGATCTGTTGATGGAATGGCTTCTTGCCCTCTGTTCCTCTGATGACAGACAGCACTGGAGAAATGACCTGTCTACACCATGATCTGAGATACCACTTCAGGAAAGAGGATAATTCTACTTACCTGGGGATGCCTGGAGGTGAGGAATATGGGGAGAATCCAGCTGTAGGGTTGTCCTTGACTCCACCAAATCCCTGGCCAAGTCTCCTCCTGTCTCCAGACATCTTCCCATGGGTGCCCTTCCCTTCCACCACCTTCTTACTCTCTCACCTGAACTTTATAAACGGCCTCCTCCTATCTGGGTCTCCTGCCTCAAGGCTCTCCCCACTCCAGCCCTTCCTACACAAGTCACTAAAGTGACTTTCCTATACCACAGGTCTGACTATGTCACCCCCACTGCCCTTCAGTAAAGTGTAGTGGCTCCCTATTCCTTCTAGGATCAAATACAAAGTCCTTTCTTTGGCATTTAACACTCTGTGCAAACCTCAGCTCTCAGGGAATTGGTGTGAGGGCCACCCTTGTGACCCTGGACAAGTCACTTAACTCATCTGAGGCTGGTTTACTCATCTGCAAAAAGAGGGGGCCGGGCCCAGTGGCCTCCCTTCCATATCTAAGTCTATGACTCCACAGTAACAGGGGGACAAGCCAATGACAGCCCCTTCCTTCTGGCCATACAAAGATGGACTAAAACAAGATCATTTCAGCAAAGAAAGTGAGGAAACAAAACATCAAAACCTTAAGGACCAGAACAACTGTATTGCCCTAGACAACCACAAACGAATATCATCTATGTTTTATTGTGGTTTTATTTTTTTGAATATTTCCCTATTACATTTTAATCCAGATCAGCCCACCAGAGTGTTCTGCTTCAGTGATTAAGTTAATGAGGTTTCTCTCCATCATGAGTTCTATGTGCTCTGATCTGGGGGAAGCCTTCCCACATTAATCACATTCTTAAGGTTTCTCTCTGGTATGTATTCTCTTATGTAATGAAAGATGTGAATTCTGGGTGTAGGCCTTTCCACTTTCATTGCATTCACAGGGTCACTCTCCAGTGTGAGTTCTCTGATGTCGAGCCAGTGCTGCACTGCGGGGAAAGCCTTTCCCACAATCACTACATTTAAATGGTTTCTCTCCAGTATGAATGCTGAAGTGTTGTCTAAGATCTGACTTCTGGCGAAAGATCTTTCCACATTCAGTGCATTCATATGGTTTCTCTCCAGTATGAATACTACTGTGGCTGGTAAGATTGGACTTGTGAGAGAAAGCCTTCCCACAAACCCTGCATTGATGAGGTTTTATTCCTGTATGAGTACTCCGGTGCTGAGTAAGGTTAGAGCTTAAATAGAATGTCTTCCCACATTCATTGCATTCATAAGGTCTCTCTCCAGTGTGAATTCTCCGATGTCGAGTCAGTGTTGTGCTCCGAGGAAAGGCTTTGCCACAATCATTGCATTTAAAAGGTTTTTCTCCAGTATGAATCCTATAATGTTGCATAAGATTTGTCTTCTGGTGGAAGGCCTTTCCACAGTAACTGCATTTGAAAGGTCTTTCTCCAGTATGAATTCTGTAGTGCTGTGTAAGATTTACCTTTTGCCAGAAGACCTTTCCACATTCACTGCATTTGTAAGATTTGTCTTGACTATCAATACCAGTGTGTTGAGTATGATCTGCCTTCTGATGTCGTGTCTTCCCACATTTGGTCAATTCAGAACATTTTTTTCCTACATGAGTTCTCTGGTATAAAGTAAATTCATTATTTGGGAGGAAAGAATACCCACTTTCATGAAGCTGCTCTTCAGCACAAATTCCATGTTTTCTAATGCAATCTAAATCATAAACGAAAGCTTTCTGACACGTGTTAACCATAGAATATGTCAGTGAATAGATTTGATTATGTCGTCTTTGATCTGACTCCATGGTGAAGCTCCTTCTCTGGTTATCACTCTTATGAAGATTCAGAACTACAGATAATTCTTGTTGTGGAAAAAGGACTAGCTCTGGACTAGTAGTGTGGCTGTATCTACTGTATAAAGAGCCTCTGACTGCATTGCCAGTTTCTGTTTGGATTACTTTTCCTTGTCCAGAATGCTTCTCCTCATTGCTCTGTTCTTTCTTTATCACGCCATAATACTCCTGGGCTTTTCCCATCTTGGAGAAGCATGAGTCATCCCACAGGGACCTTTGCTGGGATAAGGGTTCCATAGAAATACTGAACTTTGGAGTTGACTCCTTGATCTGAGGCCTAGTGTCACCATCTGAAAATAAGAAAAAGTGTAAATGCCCTTTCTCTTGGATGAAGAAGCACTTCAGTACACTTCACTTTCCCCAATATCCTGGCTCTAATAAGCAACGTATATATTTTTCACTTAAAATTAAATCAATTCTTAGTGGTTTTAAATTTTTCTTTGAATTCACCAAGCTTACCCTTTCATATAGCTCAATAATATTATATTAGTTATGTATGCCAGAACGGATGCAGATGATGCAAAAATTAATGGAAAAGGAACAATTACTGGCTCACATACACTAATATGAACAAAGTAGCTTAAAGTATATATTTTTTTAGGAAACTTCTTCATGTGAATGTCACACCTGGGAGAATCATGAGTGAGATCACTGGGTCTAAGAAGAGGAAGTTCTGTGGAGCTCCTACACCGCAGAATTCCACTTTGCTTTCCAAAAAGATAAAAACAATTCAAAGTTCCACCCACAATGGAGCAGCGCTCCTGCATTCTGAAAACACTAACAGAATCTGATCATTACTATTTGTCCCTATCAAGTGACCTTCCTATAAAAGGTGACAACATCCAAACAAACTAGAGGAATGGGGGAAAATTTGCTGTAAGATCTATACTTCGGAGAAGAGTTCATGACTAAAAAGTCATTGAAAGCATCACAAATGTGCCCATTTTCAGGGGACGCACAGGTGAATGATCAGCTGAGTACCGAGTGTGGGCACTCACTGACACACTGACCTGGCCAGCAGGTTCTCAGGACACTATATAAAGGAATCCCATGAGCTTCCCCTGACTCCAGCTGAGAGATCACATCCAAGTTGGAATCTGCAAGGCCTAGTGAGGGGAAAGGGCACAGTGATGGACAGGTATGGTCACCTCACAGCCCATGCCTCACAGACAGTCAGGAGACAGTGAGGAAGGGCCAGGGAGTCTGGGGGCTGTGCAGAAGCATACAGAAAACATCTGAAGGGTGATCTGGTTTCTTTTCCTGGGAAGATACAGCAATGGGACAAAGAATGGAGTTGGGTTCACAGAGACAATGAGTTCATTTGACCCATTCAATGCTGAGGTATCTGGGAGCTGTCTTGACTTCAGTATCTGCCCTGGGACTTGAGAAAGCCTCCCTGGACTGAAGAGAGAGCTGGAGCAGGCTCACACAATGAAGCAGACAGCTTCCAGCCATACAAAGCAAGAGCCCTTCAGCTGGGACCAGGCAGAGCACAAGAACCTTGCCTCTTGGCTTCACTGCAAGTAACAAATGCTTGGTTTTCTTATAGGTCAAAGCACCAGTGCTGAACACTAGACCCAGCCCCAGGAGAAAGAAGCAAACAACCTTTTGGGGCAGGTCTCAAGTCCCCAGAGGAGCCTCCTTACCCAGGCTGACCAGGTTCCTGTAGTTCTCCAGCATCACCTCCCAGTAAAGCTCCTTCTGGGAGGTATCCAAGTAGCCCCACTCCTCCCAGGTGAAGTCCACAGCCACATCCTTGAAGGTCACTGATTCCTGAAACAAATCTGTGCTTAGCTAGGGACCACAACCCAGATGGATGTAGGAAGGGGAGTGAAGGGGGCAGGAATGAGAAGAACTGATTCTTACTATCTTCAGGTTTCAGACTGTTCAAAACAAAATCCTGAGGAGCATTTACTAGGTTCTGTATCATGTAATACGAGAATAGTCATTGTCAAGCCCATAAGCATTGATGGAGTGTCTGCCCTGTGTCAGGCTCTGTGCTGAGCACTGGGGATACAAACTGGGACAAAAGCAGTCCCTGCCCTCAAGGAGCTCACAGTCGATAACGGGGGAGACAGCAGGCACAGAAGCAGTCCTGAGGATTCAGCAAGGCCCCAGCAGCTGAGAAGACCAGGAGTGGGTTCCTATAAAAGTCAGGGCTTGAGCTGAATATTGGCAGATTAAGTCAGTGTCTCCAAGACGGGCAAGGGAAGGGAGAAAAGCATTCCAGGCAGGGAGGGGAAGCAGAGGCAGAGGAGAGATGGGGAGTCATGTGTGAGGAACAGAAAACAGGCCAGGCTGGCTGGGCCACAGGAAGCAGCGAGGACTTTAACATGCTAATAAGACACGGGAATGAGGAAGGGCTCAGTTTGTGCAGAGCACTAAATACCAAATGGGGGGTTTTATCTGACTCTGGCACAGTCAGAGCTCGATCCACTGTGGTCTGGGGACTGAATCTGCCCAGGTGCTCTGAGGACACAGAGCACTGAGAAAGGACCCATCTACACACTGTGACCTGAGACACCTGTCAGGGAGAAGGACCATGCTGCTTACCTGGGGGGGCCTGCCGGTGAGGAACTCGGGGCCCATTGTGGCTCCTTGCTGCTCCCCGCTCTGGCCCGCGCCCAGGCCCCTGGGATCTCACAAGGCGGAGCTGGAAAGGAAAAGGCAGCCATGAGGGGGTGGGCCCTTCCCCCTGTCCCCCAGACCTGCCTCTGCATGGGAAATGCCCACAGTGACCCTGGGGGCGGCCTGTCTGTGTCCAGGACTCGGGTCATCTCAACGTGCATTTGTGAGGCGCCCAATGTATGCCTCGCTGCATTCTAGATGCTAGAGATGCCAAGGAAAGATAAAAAGCCCAGACTGTGCCTCTCCCCCCAGAAATGTTAGGTCACGTGAGGGGGAGGGGGCAGTGACAGCTCGGGGGAGGGGGGCCCTGGGCTGGGGCTGGAGGCTTCTTTCCCGGGTGTCCGAACCCTAGAAACGCAGGGAGGGTGTAGGGGAGGAGCCTAAGGTCATCCATGTAGGGGGGAATGCGGGGAGCAGGAGAGGGGGAGATGAGGGGGGAAGGGAGGTGAGAGAAGAAGGGAGGAGGAGGAGCCAAGGGGTGGCAATGTGAGGGGGGCAGAAGAAGAGGGGGCGGAGCAGGAGGTGGATGAGACAGAGGTGAAGGGGCAGGAGCTTTCTCCCCACTTCAGAGACCGAGGCAAGGAGCAGGGAAAAGGGACCGGGGAGGGGACAGGCAGGGGTCCCAGGGGCCGGTCCCCCCCACCCCCGCACCGGCCTCCCCTCGGTTCTCTCCCCTCACCCGAACCCAGGAGAAGCGCTGGCGACCCTGCTGGACCCAGAGCCTCACAAACCTCCAGAAGGCTGCGAACCGAACAGGAAGCGTGAACTTCCGCGTCTGCGCAGTAGCTCCCTTAGCAAGGGACGCTCCCATTGGCTAGCTCCTGGGGGCGGGGCGTTCTTGTGCGGTTCCCGGGCAACGCTCCCTTTCTCTTCTTGGTTGGAATTAGGGCCGGGGGAATATGCTCCTCCCCCCGGCCCCCGCCAGGCCACGCCTGGAATTTTGAGCCAATCAGAGTGGACGCTGCTGTCGCGGCCCGCCCCTACCGGCTTCCGCTCCGCCCTCCCCCCACCTTTGTAGAAGTTTACAGGGAAGTTAAACACGTGGTGTTTTGGTCAGCTGTCACCTCGGAGTCCTGGAGGTCATGCGCGTGAGGACTCCTCTCTGGGGAGCAGTGATGATGGCCCCTGGTCTGGTTGTTGTCCTTTGTTCTTGTAGAGGACCAAAATGACATCATTAGGCTAGAGTCAAGTCACAGTGTGCCCGACTCTGGCTGAAAAGACCCGTACGAGCTCGGAATGTTCTACCACAGTCGGCCAAATAGTCCGTGTGAACGTTTGGAGTGGCTTCTCTGAATGTGTGCATCTGGCGTTTTTCTGAGCTCCTTCAATTCTGCTTTGCTCATAGAGCTCAGCACCTTCTCTGATGTGGGCAGGCCATGCTGGGTGGTCCTGTACCAGTGTCTCCCATGTCACACAATCAATTCCAAAGTTCTTCAGAGAGACTTTGAGAGTGTCCTTGTATCGCTTCTTCTGACCACCATGTGAACATTTGCGCTGTGTGTAATTTCTCCATAAAACAGTTTTTTGGCAAGCCCATGTTTTGCCTTCCAACGACGTGGCCAGCCCATTGGAGTTGCCCTCTCTGAAGCAGAGATTGGATGTTTGATAGTTTAGTTTGAGAAAGAACCTCAGTGCCTGGTGTCTTATCCTGCCAGGTGATCCTGAGAATCTTCCTAAGACAATTCAAATGGAAGAGATTCTGTCGAGCATGGCTGTGCTAGACTGTTCAGATTTCACAGACGTACAACAATGAGGTCAGCACACTGGCTCTGTAGACGTTCAGTTTGGTAGGCAGTCTAATACCTCTTCTCTCCCACACTGTACTTTGGAGCTTCCCAAACACTGAGCTGGCTCTGGCAGTGCATGCATCAACCTCATCATCAAGGTGCACATCCCTGGAAAGTACACTACCAAGGTATGTGAACTTGTCCACAGCATTCAGAACTTCTCCATTTGCTGTAACAGAAGGTTCCACATATGGATGGTGTGGTGCTGGCTGATGGGGCACCTGTGTTTTCTTGGTATTAATTATTAGGCCAAAATTAGCACAAGCAGCAGAGAATCAATCCATACCTTGTCGTATCTCGGCCTCAGAGGCTTCACTGAGTGGACAATCATCTGCAAATACAAATTCATGCACCACCGCTGCTTCCACTTTAGTCTTGGCTTGTAGCCTTTTCAAGTTGAAGAATTTGCTGTAGGTGCAGAAACTGACCTTGATGAACTGTTCATCCTCATTGAAAGCATTTGACAGTGTGGATGAAAACATCCTGCTAAAAAGCATGTGAGCAGGCACAATCTTGTTTCACTCCCCTGGTGATTGGGAAAGCACGAAAGCATTGTCCGTTATCCAGAATCCGGGCTAGCATGCCACCATGAAAGTGATGAAACATCATGAAACTTCTCCTTGCAACCACATTTTGACATAATTTTCCATACACCCTCTCAACTGACAGTATCAAAGGCCTTGGTCAGATTGACAAACGTGTGCAGACCTTTGTTCTGCTCCTGGCATTTTTCCTGGAGTTGTTGGGCAGCAAACACCATATCAACCATTCCTTGGCCCTTTCTGAAGCCACACTGGCTCTCAGGTAGACAACTGTCTTCCAGGTGAAGAATCAGCTATTAAGGAGGACTCTGGCAAGAATCTTTCCATCAATGACTAAGAAAGACCTGTGGTCTCCCTGTGATTGTCACAGAACAATCTACTTCCTTTACCTTTATAGAGATGGACAGTGGAGATGTCCTTGAACCTGAGGGATAATCTCCTCTTGCCATATAAAGTGGAAAATTTCAGTCATCTTTTGTACGAGCAATGGACCCTCTCTACCTTGTAAATCTCAGCTGGAATAGAATCAGCACCAGGGGCTTGGACATAGGAGCCTAATGGCATTCAAAACCTCTTCTTCAGTTAGAAGTTCATCTGGAGAGGGACTGACTTCAACCTGAGATAAATGATCAGTGGCCTCAGCATAGATTGATGATGGTCTGTTGAGAGCACTATGGAGGTATTAGAATATGGACTATTGTCTAAAGAAAAAAGGGAGTCATGGAGGTTCTAGAGCAGGGGAGTGGCCTGAGCACCTCTGATGCAAACTCTGCTCTGCTCTAAGAAATTTTAGATGGAGCAGCTGGTGCTTGGGCTTAGGGGAGAAGGGGGAGGGGGCAAGGAGGGGGTTTCCACCTTACTCCAGTCTTATTCTAAGAAAGAGGAAGCCAGGCCTTGGCTGGGTGGGGAATTCATCTCCTGAGTCTGCAGAAAGTTGTCTGGTCAGTGATTTTCTCAGGTGCCTGTTCAGGGGCTCTTGGAAAAAGAGAGGGGTCTAAAGGGGGATGACCCTGGGAGGGCTCTTCACTCAGAGCAACACCCTAGAGGCCCAGGAGCTTTGATGGCTGATCTCAGCACCCAGGCTTCGGGGGGGGGGGTGTTGCAGGGGTGTGTGTGGCCATGACTTGTAAATGTTACTTAACCCTCGGAGGAAGTGAAAGTCAGGCAAGGGACTTCAGGGAGGCCAGAAGGTGCCACACCCCCCCCCTCATCACCCCCTGGAAGTCCCAGTTATCCAGAGTTGGGACCAGTCTGTAAAATCATGGGACCTAAAGTGGAAGGGACCTCAGATGAAGAACGTGAGGCCAGAGGGGAAGTGGTTGGAATGCCCAGGGTCCCACAGGGAGTGGGAGGCTGGACTCCAGTGCCAGGCCCTCTCTGCTGGGGCAGGCAGAGCCAGGAGCCAGGGCTGACCAGCCTCCACTGCCCTCTCTGCTGGCCCACATGGAAGCCTTCTCTCTTTCCTGGTTTCTTGTAAGGGTCTTGTTTCCCACATCTTTGACCTCTCTGTGGGCCTTATGAACACTGTTACTTAGCTTTCCCCTTTACTCTCTTCTCTCCCACTCCAACAGTCCTTCAAGGCCCAATCCGAGTACTGACAGGCCACAATTTAAAGCATTTCCCTTTGAACACCTCTTGACTCAGGGAATAGATCAACATCCCCATTTTACAGATGAGCAAGAAGCTGGCCCATGGTCATGGCTACAAAAAATGTCAGAACTGGGATTCAAAAGTAGGGTCCCTAACTCTGAGTCCAAGGCTTTCCTGCTGCCCCTAACACATCCCTCTCCAAACACCTAGTCTCAGAATTGGAAGAGATCTTAGAACACTGGGAACAACCCCAGAACAGGGAATGTCAAGGCTGGAAAGGTCCCAAGAACAGGGAATGTCAGAGCTAGGAAGGAACTTAGAACAGGGAATGTCAAGGCTAGAAAAATGGAGTCCAAATGGTTTCAGCTGGGCCACTTCCTGGATATGTGACCTTGGGCTGGTCACCTTCTTTTCCTCACTAGACAATGAAGGGGTGGCACTAGATGACCTGTGAGGCCCCATCTGGCCTTACATGGAGCAACCAGGGATGTCACCTGTTCTTGGCCACAGCCAGATGGGCTGTTTCTGGAGCACTCCTTGGGGCTTGGGAGAGGGTCATGCTCACAGAAGTCATTCCCCAAATGTTGGTGAAAGAAAGGCACACCTTCTCTAGAGACATTGGACCTGGGTTCGAATTCCTCCTTTGCCACTTGTGCTGTCTCAGGCCATTCAGCTCCTCTCTCTGGGCTTCAGTTTCCTCATTCTAAAATGGGGGAGGGGAGCTTGAGAGGAGATGATCTCTAAGGTCCCCTCAGCTCTAGAACACTTGGGTCCTGATAGGGGCCCCATCAAGAAGAGGAGGGCCCAGGGTGCGCTAGTGGCCTCAGAAATCAGGGCCCACCTCTAAGTACTCCCTGTCCCCCGACAGGGGCCTGCCCTCTCTCCTTCCCCTGGGTCAGCCCCTGCCTTTGCTCCCACCATGCCCTGTCTCATGGCAGGACCCCAAGAGCTGAGTGCTGCCTGAAACTCATGGAGGGCAGGGAAACTAGAGCATCTCTCCACCATCAACTTAGAGTGGGATCAGCATTGCCTGAACAAATACATCATCTCCCCTCACAGAGCCTCCATTTCAGAGAGACTAGACTGGATGCTCTCTGAGATCCTGCCTAGAAGTCCCTTCTAACATTCTATGCTCTGTATTCTCCCTTCAACTCCCTGGCCCGTGTCCTCTGTTCTAAGCTTCTTTGAGCCTCAATATCCCCTCCTTTAAGGGCCCTCCCAGCTCAGACATTCCCTCCTCTAAGACTCCTTTTTAGCCCTGAACTTCCCTGATCTAAGGTTGTACCCAGTGTTCTAAAATCTCTTCCAATTCTGTGTTTGAGGAGAAATGTGTTAGAAGGGAAACAGGTAAGTCTTAGGCTTGGAATTACAGGCTCTGACATTCTTATAGCCATGACCCTGGGACAGCTTCTTGCTCATCTGTAAAGTGGGGATATTGATCTATTCCCTGAGTCAAGGGGTATTAAAAAGAAAATGTTTCAAAATGTGGCCTGTCCCTCCTTTGATTGGGCCTTGAAGGACCAATTAGAGTTGGGAAAATCAATTCCATCACAACTGTGTACCACCACTTGTTCAGTTATTTCCCAATGGACTGGCATCACCTCAATCTCCAGTTCTTTTAGGATGGCACAGTAGATAGAACACTGGGCCTGAGGCCCAATCTAGCCTCAGACACTTACTTGCTGTGTGACCCTGGGCGTGTCATTTAACTGCCTCATTTTCTTCATCTGTAAAATACGTTGGAGAAGGAAATGGCAAACCATTCTAGTATTTTTGCCAAGAAAATCCCAAATGGGGTTATGAAGAGTTGGATACAACTAAAATGACCGAACAACAATTATAATAAC